TACTACTACTACTACTACTACTACTACTACAACTACTACTACGAATGCGACTACGACGAAAACTATGAATATCACGACTGATCCTACTACTCAAACAAAAATCATAATACCACTACTACCAGTACTGTCAACAGTACTTCGGCAGTTGACAAACTCCAGCCTGAAAACTCTGGGTTCACGGCCAAGAGCCATGAGCGGCAGACCACGGAGCATCTCAAACACAGATCTTCTTGACCGCTAACGGTTCACTCTCTCACACCACCGCATCATGTCACAAATCCTCCTCCTCCTCTTCCTCTGTGCCTTCCTCCTGAGGGCACAAGACCCAAACCAGGAGATCGGCACAAATCACCGTGTCCGGGGGGGCTGGCGGAAATGAGCAAGCCTCTAGAATAGATCTTCTTGGCCGCAGACCATCCGTGCACCCACTGAAGTGGATCCAAGTCGTTGTAGCCCGCGTTGCAATCGATGGGGCACGGGGTCGTCGTCGGCGCGGGTGGCGCCGGGGGACGAGGCTTCGGTGGCGGCGGCGGAGGCCTTGGTCGGAGCAGAGCAGGATGGGTCAGCAAGAGAGGAGGTGACAGAGCACGCCACCGAGTGCAGCATCTGCCGTGACCGACGCTGGACTGCGCATTGCTTTGCTGTTGTCCTCGATCCTCGATCCTCGATCCTCGATCCTCGATCCTCGATGCTCCGCGCCGCTCCGAGGCGGAGCATTCGGATGCCTCCCAGCGGCAGGCGAGCGCGCCGCGAAAACCAAAAAAGGAAGACGGCACCACCAGGCCACGGCGCGGGAGCAGGTCAGATCGCGCCCGGTCCGACGCCGCGCCCGAGGGCTGCACGATCGGAGGTCGACGTCCTCGACAGGTCCCGGCGAGGGATCGGATCAGATCGGCTCGGCAGGAGGAGGCGTCGTGCCCCGCAGCACCTACGCTCAAAGCCACCTGGGGAAGTATCTGTTTCCTGCCCTGCCCGGCGGTCAGAAACCGCCACGGCCCTGGCCAGGGGCACCACGAAGGAGGGAGGAGGGGGGAGCAGCTGGCGTAAAGAGCGAGCTGCTTCCCCCCCCCCTCCCTCCTCCTCCTCCTCCTCCTCCTCCTCCTCTCTCTCCTCCTCCTCCTCCTCCTCCTCCTCCTCCTCCTCCTGCCTCGCCCTCTCCTCTCTCCTCCTCCTCCTCTCCTCCTCCTCTCTCCTCCTCCTCCGCCTCCTGCTCCTGCCCTCCTGTCCTCCTCCTTCCTCCTCCTCCTCCTCCTCCTCCTCCTCCTCCTCTCCACCCTCCGCCTCCGCCTCCTCTCCTCCTCCTCCTCCTCCTCCTCCTCCTCCTCCTCCTCCTCCTCCTCCTCCTCCTCCTCCTCCTCCTCCTCCTCCTCCTCCCCGAGCGGAGGCGCGCGCCTCGGGAGCCCCTGCGCGGGCACTCTCCCTGAGCTGAACTCGGGCGCGTCCCCCATACAGGGGGACGGGGCGACGGGAAGTCACAAACACTCAAAGAAAGTACTCCGAAAGGGTCAAAAAAAAACTACTCCAAAGATAGTCCCCAGACTAGTTTTTGACTACTTTGGAATACTCCTCCTATAGAGGGACGGGCCCGGCTTGACCCTAAGCGGCTGCCCGTGCGGGGGGTGGGGCGCCCCGAGAGGGCTGGCCAGAGCCCGACGACCTCCTCGGGCCGGGTGAAAGGGGGGGATAGCAAGGGGGAGGGGTGAGAATCAGCTCACGTAGCTGCTTTTCCCGGCGCCTCCCGGCGCTGGGAGGCGCCCATGCATCGAGGGATGGCCCGGCGGCGGGGCCGAAACTGGCTGCGTGCAGCAGATTTCGTCCGGCCCGACGACCTCCTCGGGCGCCCCCATCTAAGGGATTTTGGACGAAAAAATTAAAAATAACAAAAAATGCCCTGAAATGCTCAAACCTGGTCAAAAAGTCGTCCCCCGACTATTTTGGAGGACTATCTTTGAATATTCCTCCTGTAGAGGGACGGGCCCGACTCAACCCTAAGCGGCTGCCCGTGCACGACTACCTACCAGACCACCCCAACCCAACCCGAAGACCCGAATTTCGGGTGGGGGGGGTAAGGGTTCCACATGCGTTTTTTCGATGTTTCCCGACCCCCCCCCCACTGGAAACCGAGGGTAAATCTGAGCCTTCGGGTTGGGTTGGGGTGGTTTGGTGGGTGGTGAACTCCCTGTTACAGCCCGATGCGTTCGTTCGGCGTTTCCGTGAGCCTGCACCGAGGCCCGTGCCCACTCCTCGATAAGATGTGCCTCGGGGCGCCCCCCTGCACGTACGTGCAGGGGGGCGCCCCGAGAGGGCTGGCCAGAGCCCGACGTTCTCCTCGGGCGCCCAGCGGGCGGCCGGACCTCGCCTCGGCGGCTCCGCAGGGGCGGGCGGGGGCCTCGACGGAGCTCTCCGCCGCGCCCCGAGGAGGCCCGACGAGGGCAGCGCGGGGCCACCCAGGCCCCAACGACGCACATCGCAGGCCACGGCCAGGCGTACAGTCGGCCTCGATTGGGGAGGGTACGCGAGAGGACACGAGACCCTCCCGAGGGTCACGTCGCCATCGGAATGCAAGAAGGCACGCGTCGCGAGGCACAGGCCACAAGGATACCCTTGAGCTGGCAGGGTCGACCTACAAATCTGGGCCGACTGTAGCCACACACCCTGTAGTCGCCGATCGAACACTGAGCGCGGACGGCAGCTCAGCTGCCGGCGGCAGCCCCAGCGGCAGCCGCGAGAGCGGCAGCGGGCGCCGCCTCCACGGGCTGCCTGCCCATCGGCTCCAGCCCTTCCTCCCCAGCGCTGCTGGCAAAGCGGTGGGCGCCGCGTCATCAGCGCAGGCGTCGCCGATTCTCGCGTGGCTGGGCGGCGCTGGAGGCACTCCGCCGGCCCGACCGGCCGAGCCAGCGCCAGCCACAGCCTCCAGCAGGATCGCGAGCAACGCCGCTTCGAGCGCTGCGAAGTCCCGCCCAGCAGCCAGAGTCTCGCAAGGCGCAGGCACGCCGCCGCGCCGCAGGGCGCCGTCGGCGTCGCCTCACCGTGGCTTCCGAGACGGCCTCAGGCTCGGCGCCATCGCCGAGAGCAGCGGCTCCAACGTCGGCACCTGACCAGCGCCTTGGCCCCCCGGGGCAGCGCAAGCAGCAGCAGCCTGAAGGCGGCGCCGGCCGTCGCTGCACGAGATCCCCTCCAGCCCTCGACAGGCCCGCGCCGCCGCCCGCCCACGGACGGGGAGGCGCGGGCGAGGCCGTGCGCCCGCACGGGCCAAAATGTGGGGGAGGCGGGAGGAAGAGGCGGAGCGGCGAAGCGACGCGGAGAGCGAAGGAGGAGAACGGATGAGGGGAGTGGGGAGGAGGAGGAGGAGGAGGAGGAGGAGGAGGAGGAGGAGGAGGAGGAGGAGGAGGAGGAGGAGGAGGAGGCAGAACAGGCAGAGGAGGCGGCGCCGCCCAGCGGGGCAGGCAGGAGGTGGGTGAGCGGCCCTTGCGCGCGCGGGCGCGGCACGTCACGCGCGGGCATCGACCGCCTCTGACTCGAGACCCCTGGGGCCATGACGGAAGGGGAGTCGGAGGAGGGGGTCCGAGGGCTGAGTTCGCCTCCCCCTTCCTGCCACAGTTCCTGCCAGGATTTACGCGCTCGCGCTGCTGCAGTCCGAGGGGTGCCGTGTGCTACGAGGGGCGCATGACATGGATCCACCTGCAGCGCGCGCAGCGTGGGGCGAGGCTGCGCGAAAGCGGACGTGCAGAAAGAGGGGCAAAGGGGGAGGGAGGGGGCAGAGCCGAGTAAAGCCGCAGGCGTGCAGCATGTATCGCCAAGCACGGACGCGCGCACGTGCGACTGTTCGCACAGGATGCGCGCACACACTCCCGCCAGGCACTCGATTTGGACCTTCCCAGACGTCGCTCGGCCGAGTCTAAGGAAGCTGCGGCGTCGTCGGAGGAGGCGGCTTTGGCGTCGTCGGGCAGCCCTTCCCAACCCGATCGCAGCAGTATTCCTTCTTCTTGTCGCTCCACGAGTCCTCGTCACCTTCGTCGCAGTCGATCGTGGTAGTTGTCGATGCGGGCACAGTCGTCGTGACCTCAGATGCACCCTCCAAGCCACCACGGTCGATATGATCCTTCCGATCTCCGACTAGCCGGTCTGCTACTGAGATGCAACAGGAAAAGGCTAGGAGCAGTCCAAGCAGAGGCGGCTGCTTTACATTATGCTATTGCAGCTCTAGGGAAACTTCCACAGGCAACAAACTGCGAGTGCCAAATATGTCGCTTGGTGTGTCTGTTCCGCACTTTCTCTCTCTCTCTCTCTCTCTCTCTCTCTCTCTCTCTCTCTCTCTCTCTCTCTATATATATATATGTATCCCTCTGTATACACATATATGTATATATATATATGTATATGTGTGTATTTCTATAAAGATAAATGTGTCTATTCTCTCTCTCTCTCTCTCTTTCTCTCATAGTTGCTTATTCTACGTACATGTATAAGTACACATGTGTACCCTCCCTGTTCGAGTCGTGAAAGCATTTGCTCTCCCAGATGTTTGGTCCTGAGAGGCTCTGCGTGGCGACGCCCCCGCTGACACGCAGGCCCTCTGCGTGCCTGCCGGGGGCGCCGCCACGCAGAGCCTTTCCCCCCTCCCTCTTACCTCCTCTCCGACCTTGTCCTGGATGTTCCACCCTTCCCCTCTCTCTCCCCCCTCCTACCCCCTCCAGCCTCCTCGTGCTTCCTCACACCCTCCCTCCCTCCTCCTCCTCCTGCCTCCTGCCTCCCGCCGTCTCCTGCCTCCTCCTCTCCGCCCTCCCCCCCCCCACACACATCGCCTGCGCCGCCAAGCAGCAGCGGCGTCGGCGGAGGGACCCGCTGGAGGAGGGAGGAGGAGGGAGGGCGGAACGAACAGGGAGCACGAGGGGGCAGCAGGGGACAGCAGCGGCCGCAGGGGACGGGCGGGGACGGGCGGGGACTGGCGGCGACGAGCGGGGACGGGCGTCCTCATCGTCGTCGTCGTCGTCGTCGTCGTCCACCTCCTCCTCGTCCTCACCGTCCTACCACTACTCCTCCTCCGTACGCCTTCCTCCTACTTTTCCTCCTCTCCCTTCTCCTTTCCCTCCTTTCACCCTTCCTCCTCCTCCTCCTCCTCCTCCTCCTCCTCCTCCTCCTCCTCCTCCTCCTCCCCATCATCTC